TATATTATACATATATGTACTACATGTGGACCTCTCTCAGATTTGTTCATTTTCTAATGATATCTTCTGTTCTTTAATTGCCATGTGCATTGCTAACAGCGGAGCTATCTCAGCCGACAGGCTGCTTGTATATATTCGTTATACATCATGTTATATATACATGTATTAAAAATTGTTGATTTTGAATGCTGTTCCAGAGCAATATCTCTCAATATGGACAAGTACTTGTTTGACAATCAGATACAAATATCAATGATTTTAATGTTAAAAAATCATATTCCTGACATGGTTATATTCCAGCTATATAACTATATATCTTAAATTTGATAACTAACGGGGACTGTGCCATGCATGGCTTGTTTTGTTTGATTTTTCCACAGTTGAAAGTTTTGAAGTTTCAAGATGAATTGGAAGCTGGTAAAAGAAATAGAAAAAGAAGCATGACAATAACTGAACAAGTTGCACATTACAGAGCCAAGTTGTTACAAAAGGTTAGCAAGTAGTTTCTTTTTAATATTATATATTTGTTCACTGTGCAGTATTTTTGTCTTACTTTATATTCTAATCTATTAATTTTAGGAAAAAGAGAAGGAAAGAGAAAAAGAGAGAGATAGAATTCGAGAGTGGGAGAAGCGGAGAGTGAAGGAATTTGCTTCCTCACCACCAAGTGAAGGATCACCATATGGTAAAAAACGTAGAAGAAGCTCAAGTAGATCTCCTAGTCCACATGGAAAATACAAGTCAAGATCGAGTTCACCATCATCGGATCGATATGGTAGTTCACGACGTAGTTCTCAGTCTCCATCATCATCATATCGAGAACAGTCTCCTCAATCACAGTCTCCTCTTCTCATCAGCAGCAGTAGTAGAAGACGAAAAAGGAAATCTAGGTCCAGATCACCGGGCAGAAAATCACATCGGTTTAAAACATCACATAAATCAAGATCGCGGTCTAGATCACCACGAAGATCACGTAGATCAAGGTCCCATTCACATTCACCTCGCAGACATCGTAGATCACGCTCTAGATCACCAAGAAAATCTAGCTCACATAAAAAGAAACGACAAAAGTAAACACGTCCATCTTTTTGTTACAACCAATATTCTCATGCATGCTGTCATTATGTAATGTGAGATGTTCTGTATATATTATACTGGATAATACTTATACTTGATTTCCTAATATTAAAATACTACCACAATGGAAATCTGGTTACTTAGTTTACTGCATAAACTGTCATGAGTTATTCACTTAAAATCATAAGGATAGGACACAATGTTGCAATGAACAAAATAGTGTTCTGGTACCACACATTAACCATTTATATGCAAAAAGATGACAGAATGGACAAAATGTTCTGTTGTCTTGCCTGCAATGAAACTTGTGTGTTGACATCATTGTTTAACAATTCGTTCTGTCCAAGTAATTTTTCTCTAATCCTTTCCAAAGTTTTATTATATGGTTTCTTGACTTCCTGATGTATCTCTGTCAGAAAAATGGTGGGATTAAACAGACTGGATTTAGCATTAACAAAATATGCGTGTTAAATGCTACACAATTACCTCAAGCATACTATGGTTTTAAAGTTGCAATCCCACATTGTGTGTTCTGCAGAAAAACTTCTTACTGACACCATCTGTCCCCTGTTCCTTGTAAGCAATCCCAGTTTGTATGATCTACAGAAAACCTCTCACTGACCCCATCTGTCCCATGTCCCATGTCCCATGTTCCTTGTAAGCAATCCCAGTTTGTATGATCTACAGAAAACCTCGCACTGACCCCATCTGTCCCATGTTCCTTGTAAGCAATCCCAGTTTGTATGATCTACA